CTCCTTGCCAAGGAGAAGACGCGGGTTCGATTCCCGCTATCCGCCCAAATATAAATGGATTCAAAAAGATAAAAGATTCGGTATAGTTGACCGGGAAATATAGTAATTTTTTCCTCGCGTCCCAAAAGACACATATTAATTAATGACTAGTTAGTAGAATCAAACTTACATTTCTTGAAAAAAAAATGTTGCGGAGACAGGATTTGAACCCGTGACCTCAAGGTTATGAGCCTTGCGAGCTACCAAACTGCTCTACCCCGCGCTGAAACAAAAAAACTTGAACTAAACTCTAATAAACAAAGAAGAATTGAAGGAGCCCCTATTCCATATTTGTACAAATAGAATAGCCTATTTAGACAGAATGGTAAAGGGGCCTCATCGATCATATAAAAAAATAGAAAAATTAAGGGATACTTAAATCCTTACCAGCTTGATCTTGTTGCCCCTGGCAACAAACAAGCTTGAACCATTTCCCGAAGGATGTGTCCAGATAGTCCACAGTCTCGATATTTAGCTCTCGGTCTTCCGGTCGAAAAGCAACGTCGATGAAGACGTGTAGGTGCACTATTACGCGGTGGGGATTGTAATTTTCCATGAATTTTACATTTCTCACTTAGCGACGGAATCTTACTTATTTCCTTTTTTGAGGATCGACGAATCAAATGATATTTTTTTTTCCAATTTTTGCATCTTCTTCTCCCTATAAATCAAACTTTTCTTTGCCATAATGCTTCAGTTCCTCTTATTATCAATGATAATGATACAAATCGGATCCTAGATGTAGAAATAAATATAAGAGTGCATACCTATTATTTAGAAATTTATAACTAATTAATAAAAAAATAAATTAGAATTATCTCTCATAATTTATTTTTTAAAATTGTAACTCTCATCATTTCTCATCCTATAAATACTCATTTTCTCATTCCCTCATCCTCTTCCACTATATCTCAAATCTTAATTTTTGTTTTGTTTTTGTTTTTGTTATTGTGGTTGCTGTTGTATTGGTTAAACAAATCAAATTAAAGATCATTGTAAAAGCTTTATTGTAAATTTTAATTTTAGAGACCATATGATATATATCTTACATATTTTTTTAATTTTTTAAAAGATTCATCTCCATTGTCTATATTAGATTATCATTTTGTAAATAGTCATTTTCTTATCATCTTTTACTATATGCATGTATCTATCTTTTTGTGTTGTCATTTTGTAAAGCCATACTATATTATACTTATTTCTTCTTTAATTTTCATATTTTAAATTTAAATTTACATATGTAAAAAAAAAAATTTGATGGCTATAACAAAACTTTCAGGTTTCTTGGTGATGGAGAGTTAAAAAAATATAAATTTCAATCACCGCAAAACAAGAGAATGAAGTTAAAAAGATTCATCTCCGTTCTCAACTTTAGATGTTTGATTATTTTCTAACATCTTCATATTTTTTTTAATTATGCAATATTTAATAAAATAAATTATTGTAATATATTTATCAAATAATTTTTTCTTACCTCTTTCTTATCTCGAATAAATTATTGTAATTTACTTTTAATATATGAATCATTATATTTAGTTTTTTTTATCTAATAGATAATTATATAAAGAGTTATAATGTTTATTTTATTAAAATTTGAGGTTTAAGTATTTTTTAAAACACATTTGGTCTTTAAGGTTAAAAAAAAAAACTCGCATTCATGCTTAAATGGAACGAAATATACGAAAAAACTATAATTAAGAAAATCATTTTATTAAATTGTATAAAGCTGAAACAGTTACTACAAAATCTAGTACTCGAATTTAAATTGATGAGTGAAATTGAAAACAAAAGATAGAAGTTATCCTTGGGTTTTTTTTTATAAAAAATCTATAGATTGAAGTTCATATGATTTTACAAGAAACAAATTGATTTTGTCACTTACAAAATGTTATGAATTTGAACTATTATGTGAGAATTTATATCAACAAACAAACAAATTATCTGTGAGTTTATATGTATAATTTATTTTATAAAAGTAACATAGACAGTACATTTATTTTTTAAAGGTAATATATAACATATGTTTATCAATTTATATATACATAAATAACATAGTAAATTAAAAACTACTAAAATATGAGCAAATGCAGAAATCAAATTTTAAAAGCCTTTTAAATCTCTTCCACTCATACTTATATTGAAACAAAATTACTTTATAAGAAAAATACCCCGCCGCATAGCACATGATTTTATCTAGTATATCCTAAAATATCACACATTTACACTATTAAGTTTTTGTTTCAAAAGTAGCATCACTAATTTATGTTTCCAATAATACAACAAATTTTGTATAAAAATATTTGTTCAACGAAAATGAATTACAAATAAAACTAAAAAAAAGTATAATAATTAGGTCTTTTTCTTGATAACAGAAGTAAATAAAAAATAGTTTATGAATATTATTTTGTCAATGCCGGTTAACTCAAATTCCGACGAATAATATGCCATATTAAGATAGTCATGATGTTGACACATATCGTTATATAGTTGCTACATGTGTGCTTGCAATGCATTTAGTTCATGTAGTTGATTTGGAATATGTGGTCATGTATTATGTTATATGTGTATAGCTAGCTATCGTTTTTTCTTAATTTTTTTAGTTGTGCGCGTGTTATTTGGCTAAAAATAAATTAGAGGTTAATTTGGAGGATTTTAAATTTAGGTGAACATTAGGAAGATTCAATGAATTTTAGATTTTATTATAAGAATATAATAAATCATCATTTGTTGACATTTAGTTTTGTTAAATTTTGGAAGATTTTGATTTTTTTTTTGAATAAATAAGAGGTTTTGGGCTCGTACATCGTCTCAGGCCAAGGACCAGAACATTTTATATGGTGATCTCCCAAGTGATACTCGAGCGTGTGACCTCTAGGGTTTGCCTGAAAATCTTTACCAGTTGAACTATTGACATTTTGTAAGATTTGGGATTTTTACGTGTGACTTTGTCGCTTTGCCAATCCAATCAAAACAATTATCATAAGTCACCATATACTTCTTTAACAGTGAACATAAGTCATTTGACATCGTCACTTCTGTAGAAATAGGGTTCCACAAACAATTTAGTAAAGTATAGTAGGAAGAAAATTTGCTCCTTTTATAGAAATCTCGATCAAAAGTTTTCATATAATGGTTTTAACTTACTTAAAGAAAAAGTTTGGGTTTTTTGGTATGAAATTGCAGATCCTTTTCTCGGTTGAATATCTCTCTATGAAGTGGTAGTTGGTTCTTGATATGTCATCTTTCCTTAATCTTCGGTCTCGAATCTCTCTTTTTCCTATTTTCTCGGATCCTCTTAGATTTGTCTTCATCTTTCGTTTTCTTTGATCAGGTCGGCAACGAGCTTTCGTGGACCTTTGCCTCACGAGCCGATTACCGATTTAGCCAATTTACTTGGTTTAGAAAAATTATTTTTGGTTTAAGCCGGGTTTGTCGAAAACACAAAGAAAGACGTGTTAAATGTTGAGAAGATGGAGACGATAAGAGCGTATTAGATTTCTTCCAAGACTCTTACTTTAAAGGTAAGGACATTCTCTCTATCTCTTCGAGCGAAAGAAACTCCCGATAACATGAATAATGTCTGCTCCACATAACGATAGAAGATGCAGCAAATGGTTTCGAGGAGCTAGCAACACGACGTCTGACCCGCCGCACTGTTGACGGTTTAGAGATGAAGTCACCTTACATCTCGGAACTGGTCTACTTGGAGGGAGATATAGACAAGGATGGTAGGTGACAAGTTCTCGAGTGCATATTACATGCACAAATCGATGAATCCGAATATGACCAGGATCTGTCTAATTCAACCCGATATACTAGTCCATGGTGGTAAAACACAACGAGAAAGGGATCCAAACTTTCAATTAGTTACTAGTTCATGATAACTCTAGAGACCATAAACACCTTTTTTTCTATCCTTCGCTTGGTAAACCTCATTTATTTTTCACTCATCATACTTCTGACCAATTTTCGGTCACATCTAAAGACCACTTCTATAGGACCTTGGCCTACTAAACACTTTCCTTTTTACTTCTTTCACCTGAAGTGCCTCCTAAATCAACATATATGTACATCGTGGACCATCTTTCATCGGCATGGAGTGAACTATACCTCCTTTTTCCCGTTTTCCGACATTTCATTACTCTCTCATCTACTTACCCCATGGTCTTTCACCCTGTTATTTTTCTATTTCCAACTTGAACGTCTAAGAGACGTCAAAAACACCATGTATCGTGTTTTGAATGTTATATTTGCAGGAGACCTTGGCCCTCCCCCCAAAAAAAAAAATCAATTCCAGAAGATAAAAAATTTCCGGAAAAACAATTATATTGATATGCGAATAAAAATGTGTAGTAAACTTATACTATTAAGTAGAGTATGACTTCATTTTAGACTCTTGGCGAGTATAATCTTAGAGTTACTAGTTTTGTATACGGGCTCGTAACCATGTGCATTCGGTTTATGGTTTTTTTCAAAATTTTACTATATTTAACCGAATAAAAATTTGGTTTAGTTTCGGTTCCAAAGTTTGTATCTCTGGTTTGGTTGTAGGCTACAAAATTAATTCTAAGTGAACCGATTTTTTTTTTTTTGGTTAATTCGGTTTTACCATGGCCGATCTTTCATCCTTGTTCATCTATCTCAGATTTTCGACGAGATCTTCAAAGGTCACAGTAATGATTGGAAGAAAACTAAAAAAACGTTTAGTTATTAGGTGTCGAACCGAACCAACCAACCAAAAATCGAATTTTATTTTGAATTTCGTTGATTGGTCCGCAACTCAAATCCAAACTGAAACCGAAACCCAAAATGTTGATTCGATTGGTTCGGTTTGTTCGGTTTTCACCTAGTGCCGTGGGCTAGGGGTTAGGTACACTTTCTTAGAAATTTCTATTTTATGAATAAACAAGTGTGGTTGACTTATTATGCAAACCAATTCTGAGATGTTTATCTGAGCGAAAAAAAAGAAGTAAATTTTTCTTTTTCTTATATATGCGAAGAACTATAAAACAAAACCAAGCTTCTTATCATTCACGAATCTACTCTTCTCTCAATTTCTTGTTTAGTTATTTCTCAACTATGGATTCATCTTCCGGTGTACCAGGTACGTTCAGGCAACCTGATGAATTAAGCCAAAATAGCTTATATAGGGGTTTTGATTATTTGAGATTCATGTAATTAACTAATTTAACTTGGTAGGAAATTAACATATCTTGTTCATTTATTCAGTTCGTGGGCATCCTGTGCAGCAAGGCTACCCCAAAATGGTATAATAATCAGTAATTAACTGTTAGGATCTTGGTTTTTAGAAAGATCTGTCTAATTTCTTGATTAATTTCCTTCATCAGATTAGGACCAGTAATATCAAAGGGACAAAAGAACAAAAGGGAGATAAATCAAACACGGAAGGGTCGAAGAAAAAAAAGATACCAAACACGAAAAAGTGAGGAAGTCCAAAGATGAGGATGCATGTTTGTATAATACTGAATAATTTGAATTTACTTTGGAAGAATCTTCTTCTTCTTATCTTTTCTGGATAATATATTTTACTTATTTTCTGTAACTTTTGTACCAGTATTTATTGAAAATAATATATATATATATATATATATATATATAATTTTTTCCATAGGTTTTGTACCAGTACTTATTTTCTCTAATCTTCTTCCTCTTATCTTTTTTTTTTAGAATCAATTATGGATTTGCCATTTTTTGGGATGGCATTTGTGGATTTTGTCCCTTTTTGAATAGTTTATGGATTTTGCCTTTTTTCATGCTACGGAAATATGATTTAACATGCGTTTTATTCGTTATGTTTGGATTTAGTTGGTTGTGGTTGTTCTTAGGGTTTAGTATTTTGTATAAACTACGTATTTTCACCAAAAAAATCTGAAATATGTACATTTTTAAGTGTTAGAAAATGGCATATCCATAAGATTTTAGTAAAAATGGCAATTTCAAAAAATTTCTATGAAAAATGGCAAAATCAACAATAATCCCTGTTTTCAACGATCTTCCCTTTTCTATCTTCCATTCCCACAAAACTTTTTAGCTTGACTTTATTACAATTTTCTTTCGAACAAAATTTCCACGAAAAAGTTCTTACTCTTTAAATATATATTATCCGGAACCCGAGAGTCCAATTTTATTTCTTATTTTCTGGATGTGTAGACCCCATTTTTAGCTTATCTTGATCTGAAGATAAACATACGGTATGATCAATTAATTTTATTAATATCATATATCACACAATTATTTTAAAGTTCATGATTATGGTTGTTGGCGTCGCAGTAATAAACAATACTACTAGTATAATAGCAACATGAGCTGTTAGCCTATAAATAATATTAGTATAAATAATAATAGAAAAATGTCGAAAAATATATTTTTTTTAAATTTTGGGCAAAAAACATGAACTTTTTTAATGTCATTTAGATCGTAGGGTTTGGTTTGATTTTTTGATAAATGGCCGAATTCATTGACTTTATTATTATGGACATATCGTTAAATTTCTGTTAACAAGACAATAACAGAGTTAACTTTTCATTAGCAATCTTCGTTGAAACAAATGACATCATTTAAAAAACATAAAACAACATAATTTCATTGAAAAATAAGAAAGAAAAATTGAGTATGAGGAATGAAACATGTGACCTTTTGATATAAAACACTCTCAATCGTTTTGGTTTAATGGAGACAGCTAACGAAAAGTTAACTTCGTTATTGTCTTGTTAGGGGAAATTTAACGATATTCTCGAAATAACCAAACCAAACTTTACGATTGAAATTATATTTCAAAAATTTATGGTTTTTTCATTCTAAATTTAAAGTTCATGCTTTTTTTCGATATTTTTTCCAAATAATATTAGTTAAGTTCACTAGCTACTTTCTTTGTCATATTAGTTACTACGAATTTGCCTTTGTTGACTATCTTTTGATTAATTTAAACAAAAAGAAACATCTGGCGTCTAAAATTTCCGTCTGCACATAACATTATTAATTTTTTTTTAAGGGAGATGGCCATTTGACATATATAATACAACTTTGAGATGATACAAAAATAAAATATTTAAAAAATGATAGAATATATAGCATTATTTTATATGTAATAAAATAAAATATTTTGTAGAAGCGAAAACTAATGCGTTTTAAGAAGTTTTATAGCAAACTTGGATTCGTGGTAGTTTTACATCAAATTGATTTGAAACCGGGGATTGCAAAACTCTCATCAACATTATGTTTGGATTTAGTTGGTTGTGGTTGTTCTAAGGGTTTAGTATTTTGTATAAACTACGTATTTTCACCAAAAAAAATCTGAAATATGTACATTTTTAAGTGTTAGAAAATGGCATATCCATAAGATTTTAGTAAAAATGGCAATTTCAAAAGATTTCTATGAAAAATGGCAAAATCAACAATAATCCCTTTTTTCAACGATCTTCCCTTTTCTATCTTCCATTCCCACAAAACTTTTTAGCTTGACTTTATTACAATTTTCTTTCGAACAAAATTTCCATGAAAAAGTTCTTACTCTTTAAATATATATTATCCGGAACCCGAGAGTCCAATTTTATTTCTTATTTTCTGGATGTGTAGACCCCATTTTTAGCTTATCTTGATCTGAAGATAAACATACGGTATGATCAATTAATTTTATTAATATCATATATCACACAATTATTTTAAAGTTCATGATTATGGTTGTTGGCGTCGCAGTAATAAACAATACTACTAGTATAATAGCAACATGAGCTGTTAGCCTATAAATAATATTAGTATAAATAATAATAGAAAAATGTCGAAAAATATATTTTTTTTAAATTTTGGGCAAAAAACATGAACTTTTTTAATGTCATTTAGATCGTAGGGTTTGGTTTGATTTTTTGATAAATGGCCGAATTCATTGACTTTATTATTATGGACATATCGTTAAATTTCTGTTAACAAGACAATAACAGAGTTAACTTTTCATTAGCAATCTTCGTTGAAACAAATGACATCATTTAAAAAAAATAAAACAACATAATTTCATTGAAAAATAAGAAAGAAAAATTGAGTATGAGGAATGAAACATGTGACCTTTTGATATAAAACACTCTCAATCGTTTTGGTTTAATGGAGACAGCTAACGAAAAGTTAACTTCGTTATTGTCTTGTTAGGGGAAATTTAACGATATTCTCGAAATAACCAAACCAAACTTTACGATTGAAATTATATTTCAAAAATTTATGGTTTTTTCATTCTAAATTTAAAGTTCATGCTTTTTTCGATATTTTTTCCAAATAATATTAGTTAAGTTCACTAGCTACTTTCTTTGTCATATTAGTTACTACGAATTTGCCTTTGTTGACTATCTTTTGATTAATTTAAACAAAAAGAAACATCTGGCGTCTAAAATTTCCGTCTGCACATAACATTATTAATTTTTTTTTAAGGGAGATGGCCATTTGACATATATAATACAACTTTGAGATGATACAAAAATAAAATATTTAAAAAATGATAGAATATATAGCATTATTTTATATGTAATAAAATAAAATATTTTGTAGAAGCGAAAACTAATGCGTTTTAAGAAGTTTTATAGCAAACTTGGATTCGTGGTAGTTTTACATCAAATTGATTTGAAACCGGGGATTGCAAAACTCTCATCAACATTATGTTTGGATTTAGTTGGTTGTGGTTGTTCTTAGGGTTTAGTCTTTTGTATAAACTACGTATTTTCACCAAAAAAAATCTGAAATATGTACATTTTTAAGTGTTAGAAAATGGCATATCCATAAGATTTTAGTAAAAATGGCAATTTCAAAAGATTTCTATGAAAAATGGCAAAATCAACAATAATCCCTTTTTTCAACGATCTTCCCTTTTCTATCTTCCATTCCCACAAAACTTTTTAGCTTGACTTTATTACAATTTTCTTTCGAACAAAATTTCCATGAAAAAGTTCTTACTCTTTAAATATATATTATCCGGAACCCGAGAGTCCAATTTTATTTCTTATTTTCTGGATGTGTAGACCCCATTTTTAGCTTATCTTGATCTGAAGATAAACATACGGTATGATCAATTAATTTTATTAATATCATATATCACACAATTATTTTAAAGTTCATGATTATGGTTGTTGGCGTCGCAGTAATAAACAATACTACTAGTATAATAGCAACATGAGCTGTTAGCCTATAAATAATATTAGTATAAATAATAATAGAAAAATGTCGAAAAATATATTTTTTTTAAATTTTGGGCAAAAAACATGAACTTTTTTAATGTCATTTAGATCGTAGGGTTTGGTTTGATTTTTTGATAAATGGCCGAATTCATTGACTTTATTATTATGGACATATCGTTAAATTTCTGTTAACAAGACAATAACAGAGTTAACTTTTCATTAGCAATCTTCGTTGAAACAAATGACATCATTTAAAAAAAAATAAAACAACATAATTTCATTGAAAAATAAGAAAGAAAAATTGAGTATGAGGAATGAAACATGTGACCTTTTGATATAAAACACTCTCAATCGTTTTGGTTTAATGGAGACAGCTAACGAAAAGTTAACTTCGTTATTGTCTTGTTAGGGGAAATTTAACGATATTCTCGAAATAACCAAACCAAACTTTACGATTGAAATTATATTTCAAAAATTTATGGTTTTTTCATTCTAAATTTAAAGTTCATGCTTTTTTCGATATTTTTTCCAAATAATATTAGTTAAGTTCACTAGCTACTTTCTTTGTCATATTAGTTACTACGAATTTGCCTTTGTTGACTATCTTTTGATTAATTTAAACAAAAAGAAACATCTGGCGTCTAAAATTTCCGTCTGCACATAACATTATTAATTTTTTTTTAAGGGAGATGGCCATTTGACATATATAATACAACTTTGAGATGATACAAAAATAAAATATTTAAAAAAGATAGAATATATAGCATTATTTTATATGTAATAAAATAAAATATTTTGAAGAAGCGAAAACTAATGCGTTTTAAGAAGTTTTATAGCAAACTTGGATTCGTGGTAGTTTTACATCAAATTGATTTGAAACCGGGGATTGCAAAACTCTCATCAACATTATTCATGGCATAAGAAAGGATACTTCACTAGCAAATTTGCTTCAAGATGTATACTATTGGGCTTCTAAATTTTCGGATATCTGATTTTCTGTTTGTAAAAAGATCTTGTAACAAAGCGGCTAATTGTTTAGCAAAATTTAGTTGTAGTGATTCTATTTACTACTTTGAAGTTGTAAATCCGCCAACATGACTTGAAAAACAATTGTGTATCAATTTTATGAATTCAATATAAAACATTTTTGACGAAAAAAAGAAAAGTGGTACTATATGACAATACGAAACATCAGTTCTAACTGGTAATATTGTAACAATATAGAAAACTAAAAATATTAAAAAAATCAATAATCAATAATTAAAAATATATTTAATTGAATAAATGAAAACTACTATCCAAAATTAATTTAATTAAAACAAAAATTAAATTAGTTTTCAAAATTAACATTATTTATTTTTCTAAGAAAATTTTTAATATCATCATTATATGTAGATACTACAGGTATATTAAAAGATAAATCAAATATTTTAAAAGATAACAAAAATATATAAATTAAAAGACACTTTAAATTGCACAACTTTTTTTTTTTGTTTTATATTTGTACAATCACTATCTAACAGAAACCAAATACACCGCTCCTCTTTTGGTAAAGATCCTTATTTTAAGTATCGCTTTTTGTATACTTAACTAGATTTTACGCCGTGGTACACCGCGGATCGATTTTTTTAACTAAAAATTAAATTTTAAATTGTATTTTTTAATATTATTTATTTTATTAAGTGTTTAAGATTGTATAATTGTATTTTGATTGTTAATTTTAAGATTTCATATGTGATATTAATACCGTCCCGTATTAATATTGATCCAAACGCGTTCCACTATATAACCCCGTCCCGTGAAATTAAATGTCATTTTGTTTTTTTTAATAATATTTTACTTAATAGACATATAATTCGAGTCAATTTAAAAGTTTGATTTTATATATATATATATATATATATATTTAAATTTTAGTTAATAATCATTAATTCTATATAATGATTTCCGAATTAATTCCATATGATCGACGGTCAAGATTGAAGATTAAAATCCGGATTAAGATTTGAATGGCCACGATTAAATGTAGGGATTGTTGAGATCTTTTGAAAAATCAAATTGAATATGGATGTAATTGTGGGAAAGATTAGTTATGCTTAATATATTAGGTTAAGATTTTTGGAAATGATTTTTTAATGTTATTATCTTTGATTTAATTTTGAAAATCTAAATAATTAATGTCAATGGCATTTGATCGTAAGTAAGTTGGAACTCCAGGATTTATTACATAAATGTCTCTAAAAATGTATATATAGACTAGAATTTAACCTGCGGTACACCGCGGGACTATATTTTTAAAAAGATTAACTGAAGATATATCATATTAGTTTGTATTTTTAAATGTAGATATCTATCTATGGATTATTTAGTGTATGATTACTATTGTTTAGGTTTCAATTTTTAAAGTATATATACGAAAACATACATTTTTTAAGTAATGATGTATGGTCAATTTTAAAATTTTGAATATTTTACTCCGCGGTATACCGTGGGTCGATACTTGTATAACTAAATTTTTTAAATTTTAAATTTTATTTGTTTTGTTAATATTGTACGTTTTGTTTTGTGTTTAAGGTTGTATAATTGTATTTTGATTTTAAATTTTAGGATTTTATCCGTGATATACCGTTCTTTATTAATATCGACCCAAACCCGTCATCCCATATAAACCCGTCTATATTATTCCATTAGCTAAATTAGTAGTGTTATAAAATCCAAGATAATAAATTATTATTGTTATAAAAGCCAATAATTTTAGGATCTTACCCGTGGTATACTGTTCCTTGAATGATTTTAAATTTATACTACTAATATATATTTTAAATTTATCATATAAATTATATAATTTTTCTATGTGAATATTTTTATAATTATAAATTAGTAATTTTATTGTTATGCAAAATGTTAATATAAATATTTTCTATAAATTGGTTTTATGCATATTTTGTGGAGTAAAATTCACGGAAGTTTTTTTTGAAGATATATGGAAAGATTGTGTAGAGATTTTTAGAAACAAATTAGACAAGATATCGTTTGGTTATTATCTTTTATTTAAATTTTGTAAAACTAAATAATAAATGTCAATGGCATGGACTCGTAAATAAGGTGGAACTGCAGGATTTATTTGCTAAAGATACTCCAAAAATGTATACATACTAGATTTTAACCCGCGGTACACCGCGGGGCTATATTTTCTTAAAAAAATCAAAATGTAATTTGTTTGATAGATTATTTTGATTGTTAATTTTAGGATTTCACCCGTGGTATACTATCTTTTATAAATATCAACCCAAACCCATCCCATCATATTACCCGTCTCGTGAAATTAAACATCATTTAGTTATTTTCTTTTTAATAATACTTTTATTTAAAAGCTATATAATTCAAGTCAATTTAAAAATTTCTTTTAAATGGTTCCCATAAGATATATATACATATATATTAAATTTGTATAGAGTTGAAAAATATTAATATTACAAACTTTTTATATAATTTAAATATTATAAATATTTTTAAAAATATGCAATATATATTTTTGTTATTGAATAAGAGGATATTATGTGTAAGAAATGTAGAAAATAAGAGTTTAATATTTTTATTATGGAGTCGCAAGAAAAATCTTTTATTTCTATACATGTTATTCGTTTATTAATAATAAAAGAAAACAAATCCTTTAAATTAGATATTAACTAAAATAAACGCACCATAATTACTTATTAAGTAACAACCAATAAATTTCACCAAAAAATAGGTAACAACCAATAAATTCTAAACGCAGTAATTAAAGAATGAGATATTAAAAAAATATCAAATAAGATATAAGAATCTTAAAATAATTGAATATCTAAATAATTTAATTGTTAGTGTCGATTTTAATGTCTTCATTAATGTGGATTTTTTTTTTTACAGAGAAATATTTCCTAAAGATTATCACATTAATGACTCAGAAAATTAAGGAAGATATGAATTTATGATTCTCGAAATCGTGTTGGTAATATCTTTAATTAATATTTTTCAAATTTAAATAATTAATGCCAATGGCATTCATCCGTAAATACATTCCAACTCCAGGATTTATTTGCTAAAAGTCATCCAAAAATGTATATATAGATAGATACTCCAGTTTAGCTTCTCATTATATATATGAATTAGATTAGTTTGGATCAGTTGGTTTGGATTGATCCATTAATTTTTATCCACTATAATAAGGGTACTATTTTTTATAAATCATAGTAGTATCTTACTTTTTGGTAACCAATTAAAGCTGTGAAAGATGTGATTTAGAAGCTAAAATGGGTATGTCTCTAAATGGCAACAATATCGAATGTAACGGACTTAGCCATATCTTATAATCAAAGAACAATTAAAAATTAGTTTAAGAACTAGAATTCAATAACTTTTAGAAAATTTATGTATTGTAAAAATTATTTACATATGATATGAAGATTCGCCAATTATGGGAGCTACAAACATCTGTAGAAGTCTATTTCCATTACATACATAAGTGGAAGCTCTTATTTGGACGATGAAGTGTATGATTGGTACCAATAACCAAGATGTAGTTTTTTTTACAGACTGTTTAGATCTAGTGAAGATGGTGTCTTCTCCAACTGAATGGCCGGTATTTTCAGTGTATTTGGAGGAATTTCAGAGCGACAAGGAGGAATTTTCAAGCTTCTCTTTATCTTTAATCCTTTGTTGTGCAAATAGTAAACCAGATAATTTGGGACGAAAAATTCGTACCGAACCGCGTCATATGACATATATAAACAACATTCCTCATGAACAACTCTTTTGAGTTTAATTTAAAGTGTTGACAAAAATAAAATAAAATTTATATTATTTTTTGGCAACAGCTTTTCTAACTAAAACGGTTCAAAATTCAAACCGGATATACAAAGTTTACATAGCTAATATTTTATGGATATAGTCTACCACTATTTGCTAACATGTTCGTTTTGAAATTAAAATGTGTGGTGTGAAATAAACGAGATGAAAAAATAAGAAAAGAAAAGAAAAGAAAAATTATTGCTCGCGAACTCTTCAAAAAGTTAAAAGAAAGGATGTGAATTCGTTAGTATAAACAACATGCATCTTCACCAATTCGGAACAATTTTGCTGCAAATGCTACTGTCATCTTTTGTTGATCAATCGAATAATGCATAACTCAAATGAGGGCCATCTAATTCAGATTATAGTGGATAGAGGTTTGAAGCTTCTATAGTGGATCCTACTACATCGTCTTCAAAGCAAAATCATCTCAAACATGCAAATAAATCTGTCTCTTTCTAAGAGATATCTACCGTTATATAATAAGATTATATGCTCTAATTAGCTTTTTTTATGCATAATTTTCTTTTTAATACATATTTTTAAAGAATGGTAATTATAATTTTTTTTTATTTTTAGGATTATTAATTTACTATATTATTTTATTTTCTATATACCTTTTTAAAAATGTAATTGTAATCCTTTTAATTTTAGGATTTGTAATTTATTCTATAATTTTCTTTTTATTTTTTTTTTATTTTTTTACATTTGTTAAAATATGATCGTTAGACTTGACACATGTCATGATCCTATAAGTTACTAATTTTAAAAACTAAGTTTTATATAAGAAGATTTCATGGTTTGGTTTGCATCTCAATCCAAACTGAAACCGAAAACCAAAAATATCGATTCGATCAGTTCGGTTTGTTCGGTTTTCACCTAATGCCGAGAGCTATGGGCTAGGTACACTTTCTCAGAAATTTCTATTTTATGAATAAACAAGTGTGGTTGACCAATTCGGAGGCGTATGTGAGGGTAAAAAGAAGTAGAGAATTAATATCTATATATATGGGAAGAGCATCTATAAAACAAAACCAAGCTTCTTATCATTCACGAATCCACTCTTCTCTCAATTTCTTGTTTAGTTATTTCTCAACTATGGATTCTTCCCCCGTTGCACCAGGTACGTTCAGGCTAATTGGTACCTGATGAGTTAAGCCAAATTAGTTTGTATATGGCTTTTGATTATTTGAGATTCGTAACTACCAAATATAATAGGAAATTAATATATGTTGTTCATTTCTTCAGTTCGTGGGCAGGATGACTACCCCAACCTGAAACCGGTATATAATCAATCATATACTTATTAGCTGTTAGGATCCAGCGACTATTGGCTGGTTTTTAGAAAGATCTGAGAGGAAAGTCTAATTTCTTGATTATTTTCCTTCATCAGATTCGGACCAGCAATATCAAAGGGACAAAAGACAAACAAGACAAAAGTTAAATCAAGCACGAAATGGTCAAAAAGGGGAAAAAAAAATACCAAACATCGAAAAGTGAGGAAGAAGAAAGATGATGCATGTTTTATCTTATCTAATTATTGTGGATTAAATAATTTGAATTTGCATCGGATGAATTTTTTCTTCCTCTTATCTTTTTCTTCATTTTCAACTTATTTTCTGTAACTTCTGTACAAGTATTTATTCAAAATGCTATTGAAAATCAAAATATGGTTCTTTTTTGAGTTTTGTGCAAAAATACTCTCAAACTCGTCAATTTTTGCAACTTTACCGTCTATTTCTAAAAAATACAGATTGATCACATGAAGTCAAAAATACGCACTATAACTCATATACGTATATTGTAAACGTTTTCACGGTCACATACATGTGAGTTTTAAAATTGTAAAGGTAGAACTGAACTCCTCGTCGCGAAGGTTTCTATTTGATATATTATTTTTCAAAATTTATAAACTTGATGGTAAAGAAAGAGGGTTACGTTACATATTAGTTTTGATTCCGTATAATTAATTTGTAGTTTTTAAAAATAGAGAGTAAAGATAGAAATTTTGTTGCACAAAACCCTTCTTTTTCCATCGGTTCTCCGATTTTATTTGTGTTGCTCTTATAGTTTGAAAATTCTTTTTATGGCGGTTTACATTTTAATACATGGTCTTCCTTTCTCTATATTCCATTCCCCCAAAACTTTTTAACTTGATTCTTTTTACAAATTTTCTATCAAAAAGAAATCTTACTCTATTAACTTAATTATAAAAGTAGACCATGTATTATTTATAATTAGAAGAATAGAGACTTTGACACTTTGTGTAATACACATATCTGTGTCATTGAAACGTGAGTGGATGGTGGAAAAGACAAATGAGGGTTCCTTGTTTATTTTGGCTTATGTTCTTTCTCCCCCAACCTATTTTGCATTTCATAAATCATAATCAGACCATGATGATGACTCGATAACATAAACGATATAGTAATAAGTGTAGCAAACAAATTTCCTTGCTATAAGTGAATTAGCACAACGAATAATCAATTAAAGCATGAACAGTTATAAACAAAAGCATTAGGCGATAATTATAAAGCATATGTCAAAACTTATCTGTGTGATAAACGTTAGAAAAGAGAGGCACGATCGACTAGCTTTTCAAGAGATATTTCTCTTAGTTTAGGTGGTTAGAATTTCGTTTGTTCAGTCGACTAGGGTTTCGTTTTGATAACATATTATAAACAAAGAGATTTTAGAAATGTTTCTCTCTCTTATTGATATATTCCACAAGATACAAATTATATATAAAAATATAATATTAAAGTTTAGGTTAGACATTAAACTCTTAACGACATTTAATTCGAATCTCTTTTTTATTTCTACTGTCTTAACGTTTTGGTCAATAAAAAAAATAAAAAAATATATTAATAAAAGGTAAAATAAAAAATTTAATGAATTTTTTATATGTATGAAAAAATCTTAACGACATGTAATTTGAAACAGAAGAAATAATACTTATAATTATTCATAACAGTGAGCAATTAGCGTACAAAGTACAAATAGTAGTAAAGACGTAAAGTTCTCTAGCCTTTTTTTTTTTTCTCAAAGTTAATTTCACTAGCTACTTTATTTCTCATGTTAGTTAATACGAAGTTGCCTTTGTTGACTAACTTTTAATTAATTTAAACAAAAAGAAAGATGTTGGTCTAAAATTTCCGTCGCACATAAAACTAAGCGAAGATGGCTTACAATTCCATTAGTGACATATATTATAAAGAATTTTGATGATACAAAAGTTAATATTAAAAATTGATAGTATAGCAATATCTTATATGTGATAGTATAAATATAGAAGCGGACACTAAGAGCATCCACAATGGTACATGTGAGTGGGTGTGTGTTAACAATATATTTATTATAATTTTTTTAAGAGAGAGATTTGGTTAGCGGAGAAAGAGAGAGGAGAGAGAAAAAGATAAATTTATTATTTTCCATTTTTAAAATAGTCACATCCTTTTTTTTTTTTTTTTTTTTTCATCTGTAATTAAATAGTACTCAAAAGAGCCATTCTTGTGGAATGTTGTTTACATAAGTGATATGAAGCGGTTCCGTACGAATTTTTCGTGCCAGATTATCCGCTTTTGCATTTGCACAACGAGAAATTAAAGATAAAGAGAAGGTAGAGAACTCTTCCTTGTCGCTCTGAAATTCCTCCAGATACACTGAGAAGGCCGGCCATTCGGTTGGGGAAGACACCATCTTCACCAGGTCAGAACAGTCTGTAAGGAATGCTACCTCTTGATTATCTGCACCAATCATACACTTCATCGCCCAAAGAAGGGCCTCGAATTCGGCATGTAGCGGAGATAGGCTTCTACGGAGGTTGGCAGCTCCCATTGTTGATGGCTCACCGTTTGATGGTGTACAAAACCACCCTATCCCGGAAAACTTGTCGCTGTCTTTCCAGGATCCATCCACAAAACAACGGTATCCTGTAAAATCCGAATCTAGGGACACCCCCCTCGTTTGAGGCCGATTTGGAAATTCCACTGAAGCCTGAGTTTCAGTATGAAGCTCCACTTGAGCTGAGTGCCACAATTGTGCCTCTCTTTCCGCTAACCGTAAAACCTCTAACGGATCGTTATCCATATTTTCAAACAATTTTTCATTCCGTGCTTTCCAAATATACCAAATAATCCAAGGAAAAGCTATGGAATCAAACTCCGATGGTATTCTCCAAAATAAATGATCCAAGTTTGCAAAAATAGAATCTGTGGGAAAAGTCCCCGTAACCGTAGGAATCTGAGAAAGTGCCCAAACCTGTCTTGCAGGATGGCACTGAAAGAGTGTGTGATTGACTGTTTCCTCCAGTGCACCACATCTGGCACAACCAGTGTCACAATCAATTCCTCTTTTTCGTAAGTTCTCTGTAACCGGTACACAACCCGTTAAGATTTGCCATAAAAAATGACGTATCCTAGGTGGACACTGTACTTTCCAAGTATGAGCCTTTAGCTTATTGAAATCTGGCCCAATGAAAGATGAGTTGGTTTCCAACTTATCCAACCGTGCGGTATGATACCCCGACTTAACTGAATATTTGCCGGATTTTGTAAAATGCCAACCCAAGGTGTCCTCCTTGGTTGGCGCACCCACCGGTAGGGCACTTATTAACTCGACATCTTCCTGGTCAAAGACCGCTTTGAGGAGATCAATGTCCCAAAAATTAGATCGACTATCTATATTTTGTCTATATCCGGTTATTAGTTTACACCCATATTTTGTCTAAATACCTCCAAATCTATTATTTTTAATTTTTAAAATAGTCACATCCTTAGCAAAGGTGTGCCACTGCGTATGGTGTAAGGCGTTTTTTTTTGTCACTGTTTATTAAAACCTTCAAACGAACCACTTATGCTAACCTTAAGAGAACAATACAGAATCGCGACTGTGTTTAGAATAGAAAGAAACAAGGTTTATGAAGAAAGTAGGAAGTCTGGAAAACTTAGAGAGAAGTTAGAGAAACATTTAGAGAGAGAAAGCTATTATGAAATTTTATATGATATTTCAAGTTCTGATTTCTTACAAGGGGTACACACTTATTTATAGGAGGTTTTTAAGGCGCTGACATAAGCGCTTACCTCAGCGATACATCATCGCTTACATCATTGCTTACATAATCATTACATCAGCGATTACATCATCGCTTACATCATTATTTATTTTACATGATTTTAAACATATCATATTATATTTTATATTTAACATACCGCTTAATGATCCATTTCGAACTCCAGCATATGTTCTTCGCAGCATCCATAATGATCACCTGGACATTCATACGAGTTTTCGATCATTTGCGCATCTTCTCCTGGTTGATCATTTATGTAGAATTTGAACTTCTTTTCGATTTCTTCAACATTTACTTCATCATCTGGGGATTGAGCGTCTTTGAAGTAATCGGCACAGTAGTCTTGAGAAGTCACCTGAGGAGTTGTCTCTTCTTGTTTATCTTCTTTTGGACTGCTTGGTCTTTCTTTGTTGAGCTTCATCATGTGATATTGCAAATCTTCATCAAGTTGCATCTGATAGTCGACTGGATAATAAACCCAGTTGGGTATGAACGGAATGGGGAATGTTTGTCTTGCATTGTTGAGGTGAAATGCATGAGTTTGAAAGTTCTCGTATGCTTCGTTGTCTTGAAGGTTGAAATCTGGACGAACTCCTCTTGAAAAATCACCGTGATGAATGAGAGTTGGAAGAGCGAGGATTTTGCTTGTTTTGCGGTTGACCTTAACGGGACGATGAAAGAAGTAGATTGAATGTGGATTGAAGAATGGGTTGAGTCCACCTTTCTTCAACTTCTTGAATGTTAGATTTGTTGCATTTGCGGATCTTTGTAGTTTTCCACTCCAGACAGTCAACGGTGAAAACCACCTTAGGAACGTTGAGAGGCTGTCTCTTTTGTCTTGAACAGTGTTGACGTAATGGTACAGCCATTGGATGTCGAAAGCAATTCCTACCGTGTAGACGGCACAGAGATACCAGAGGAAACAGAGGACTTCTTCTGGCATATTTGAATTTTCGATCCTGTAAAGATGAGCAAACGGATAGTCAGGATGAATTCCCATTGGAGCAATGTGATGACAGTTTACTCCATAGTTCGTCAGGATGGTAGATTGATATGAGAAGATCTTTGTGCGTAGTAGCTCATGAAGCTTGTTTCTGCTGATGAGTTGATGAACATCTTCGGGTACGTCTGCCTCAAAGTCATAGTAGCTCTTCTTGGTTTCGGAGGAACTGGCCATCATGTGTATCTCGTCGGGCGTTTCTTGTTTTACTGGTTTTCGACTTAGCATGTCTGCCAAAGTGTTCTTGGTGCCCTTTAAATAGACTGACTCGAAATCGTACTTTGAGAACCACTCACTCCATCTTAGTAGCTGCTAATGCGGGACCATCTTCTGCTTGAACTGTAACATCTTGGGAAACGAAGACATATCCATTTCAATACGAAACTTGTGTCCTATTAGATGAAATTCAAACCTTTCGATAGCCTTTTTGACTGCTAAAATCTCCTTGAACGTTGAGTGATAATGTTGCTCTGAATCTTTGAAACGACCACTCTTGTATCCACAGATTTGTCTTTTTCCATCCATCTCTTCAAACAGTATTGCTCCCCAATACTTATCGCTAGCGTCTGTCTGTAGAATACGCATGCCTGAGGAGGGAATCTTTAAAGGAGGT